GGTGGGTTGTAAACACCAACCCGCCCCGCCATATTATGGCGGGCTGGCGGGCCGGCCCGCCGGACCTAGCCCGTTTTGCCATCCCTAGTCACTACTATCATGGAACATATATTAACTTCCTCTTCATATGATTTAGATGAATTTAACTTAGAGATAAAGACCTTAATGTAATTATCTTATGTTGTTGTAAGATAGTCTTGAATTCTTTCTCCTTCAAGTAAATGAACTTTCGTGCATACTTCCTCAAAGAGAGCACATATTAATTAGTTCCTCGACTTGGAATTGAGCAAGTAATTTTTTTTTTTTGTACATTCCAAAATCTTTTATCTAAGGGATTAGATAACTTGTCTAAAAGAGTATAATTGTCATTCTCAACAATGTCTCACATGTCTATGTGGCAATGATTCAAAAAACATTATTATATGCTACTTCCAATCATCAAATTTCTCACCTTTTAACAAAGGTAGTCTTCATATACCTTGTGTTTCCATTATTGTAGTAGGATCTTTCCTCAAGTTCTACAAAGAAATAACCCTAAAAGGCTAGTTATGATACTAACTAAAATTATAAGTTAACTCTAAAAATAGGGTAGGGTTTTAATAAAGCATTTCAAACTTTTTCAAAAGGAACTATTAAATGATATGCTAGTGTCTTTTGCTATTGGTTTTGATTAGACAACCAAAATAATATTTGATAGTATGTTTTAGTTAGATGACTTGATGGAATGTTTGAATCTTATAAAGTTTTCATGATTTTGCAACAATTAAAAATGTTATTTCAAAACAAGTATACAAAATATGAATTGTTTAAATGATTGAGTAAAGACAATAGATAAAAACACTTGATTTTTTTTTATAGTTCACTCAAATTTAGTTTCGTTCAATAATCTACTATTAATGTTTTTTAGCCATTTGAGATTGTGTGCAACTTTTTGTCCAAGTATAATGCATGCACAATGGTTATTAAGAGTTTGAGTGATGTTTTGCTTTTGTTGTAACATTTACGTAAGCGATTTTGATTATGTGTAGAAAAGTTCTCTCGGTGATTACGCTTTATATTTTTTCTTAATTTTTGTGTTGAACATCAAATATTTCAAGGGTTGTATATTTAGTTAATGCATTGGTAAATTGATTATAAACATATGTTGTATTTGTTTCTTATATGATAGTTTGTTATTCTTATCAAATGATAAGTTTTTAAGACATGAGCTTTTATAATCGTTGGTGGAGTTTGATAACAATAGCTGGTTTCACAAGTTAACATGTAATAATAGATGAGTCTTGTAGTCATAATAAATCTATTGAATAAATTTGATGTTATACAACATGATTCAATATAAGCTTTAGTAATTGAGTCCTCATTAGTCAAGACTAATGATAAGTAGTTCAATTGACTCTTTATTAAACGATTCCACCAAATGAGTTAATGATTAATAGTTGTTGCAAAGTTAACAAACTCGAGAGTCTACATAGATTCATGGAAAGTCTATAGACTAATAGTTGGTTGCAAGGTTATTAAACTCAAAAGTCTATATAAATTCGTGGGATGTTTATAGACTCGTATGAGTCTACTTCATATAAAAAAATATCAATATAACAAATTATATGCATGGTAATATCAACTTCACATCACTAAAACAAATACGTTTATATAATATTTATTCCATATTTTCATTGCCCAAAACATCTATTATGTATTTTCACTCAATATTTGTTATATTTACTAATACATTTTTACTTCTAAGCGGAAGTGAATATGTGAATACATTGTCTTTAGAAGAAGAATTTGAACTAGTTCCAAATAGTTTAAAACTTCAATCTTTATATTTAAAATAACAAAAAAAAAATATTATCCCCAAATTAAAATCATAAAATCCCTATAATCCTTATTCCATACGCTACAAAAGAAAAACCTTAATCTTAAACCAACATAGTATCATATGATCCCATATTAGAACCTCAACTAGTGAGTAAGACGACTTCCATGATGACTTACACGAACAATGACAATTTCACCAATGACTTGCGCAATAACGAACAACACGACCAATGAGCAACACAACCAGCGAGCAATGCAACAATGATAACAAGCATAGTGCATTGGTGATGATGACCAACACAGTGCAATAACGAGCAATGAGAAGGGACGGGGAATGTGAAAAATAGAGACAAAATGTAGATATAGATCTAACCCAAACTTATTAACTTGCCCTCAGACCCACGAGTTTGTTTAGGCTCCACCGAGTTTGAATCTGAATATACTTAAAAACAAGTCTACTCACGAGTTAACTTGTGAGTAACAATTGGACTCTCTAACTCACCCGAGTTAGTGAGTTGACTTTTGAGTTCGATAACCATAGTTGGTTGAGTCTGATTTCATGGAATTAAATAATGACATATATTTAAGCTTAGTTGCGCATCTTTAGTCGAACTAAGAACATGTTGTCAAGTCTAATTATATTTCTTTAGATAAGGTTTATGATACATGACATTATTGGTGTCTGATTACATAACAAGGTGATGATATGTAATAGATCTTATATGATCTTTAAATGACATGTATATTTGACTTTGAACTTTCTTCAATGACAACTACACACTATTAGTTGGTCTCTAACCTATTAGATAAGATGCTCACAATGTGATTGAACGATGTTAAATGATGTGTTGTTCATTAGTTACTCTAAAATTATTAGTTAATATACTTAATATTAGTCATTTTAATGATTATTAGATTAGACATTGTCTTAGAGGTTAGTCTCATGAGTTTATTATATAACATGTTGATTAATTATTTAGTGAACTCTATTCACTTATTAATGATTATATATATATATATATATATATATATATTTAATTTTAATATATATATATATATATATTTAATTTTAATATATATATATATAATAAAAAATTTAATTATATTTATTTTTATCAAAATTTTATGTATAATATTTATTTATTGAATTTGTTTCTAGAAATTTATTTCAAAACATATTTTTTAAATAAAATGAAAATAATATATAAAAACAATAAATATATTTTATAAGGTATTTTAAAGAACTATTAATCTATATATCAAATGATAACCAACAAGGATTTTGTGTAAATTTAAAATATAAGTTTTTTTTCTCAAATAAATAGATTAATAAAATAGTTTGTTGGCTAAAGCTATATTATATGTAAATTATTCTTAATAAATAATTAAATTATACACATCAGTAATATTTATTGTAAAAAAAATTGTAATTTTTCAATGTATTAAGTCATTAAAACTGAACATAACTAAACATATACATCAATATTGTTCCTATATATTTTTTTTATCATAAATACTACAAAATCATAATAAATCAGTAATAACATGTTATAAGAAGTTTTAATAACTTGATTAAATTTTTTTACAATAATTAATTTAATAAAAAATGAAATTATGCATACCAGTAATATTTATCATAATAAAAAAATTAATAAGATATTATACATATATCTGAAGGAGATTTGAATAATTTGACTTCATATAATCAAAATTATTCTTAATAGAAAATAAAATTATACAGTGATATTTATTATATAAAAATAGAAATGTCACAAAATCTAAATATATAATTTTAAATACTTTAAAATCATAATAAACCATCAATAGATTTTATATGTATATCTTTAGAATATTTTTAATAATTTTTTTTAACTTTAAATTATTTTAATAAAAAATTAAATTATACATATCAGTCATATTTATTATAAAAAACATAACCTTCTTATTACAAAACTTGAATATATATATATATATATATATATATATATATATATATATATATATATATATATATATATATATATATATATATATATATATATAGGGTTAAATATGTTTTTAGTATCCGTATTTTTATGTAAAATTAGAAATAGTTTCTCTGTCAAAGTTTACATAAAAATGATCCTTATATTTTTAAAATAAATACGTCTTTATTTTAAATTGCTTTAAATATATAGAGACCTATAGTAAGACACATTTATTATTTGACACGTATAATTATTTAAAAAAAAAACTCAACAAATATTATTATTATTCAACATAAATTATTATTTAAAAAAAATAGATTTATTTTTTTAAAAATAATAATCTTTGTTGAATAATTTTTATTTTTTAAAAAGAAGTTTGTTTTTTTTAAATAATTATACGTGTCAAATAATAAATGAGTCATATGATCTGCATTACAGAGGTCATCATATATTTGACGTAATTTAAAATAAGGACGTGTTTCAATCATTTCAAAAGTATAAGAATCATTTTTACGTGAACTTTAATAAAAGAACTATTTTTAATTTCACATAAAAATACAAGAACTAAAAACATACTTAACCCTCTCTCTCTCTCTATATATATATGATTTTTCCTATTTTTTAATCATAAATACTACAAAGTAAGAATAAACCATAAATAATATTCTTTTAAATTTATTTTTAATGAAAAATTAAATTATAAATAATATTTATTATATAAAATAGAACCTTCGAGTATATTATGCCACAAAATCTGAATATATACATAATTTTTTCCTAACTTTTTAATCATAAATCTATAAAATAATAATAATAAACCACTTAAAAATAATTTTAAGATTTTTGAGTTAACATTTTTATAACTAATCATATCTATATATTTATATAAGTCAAAGATAACGCATGTTATTTTAAAAGATATTATATTGAAAATAATTTTCTATAATTATTGTAGTCATTACCCAATTTAAGATTTTGATAAATTTCTTTTAAAGCAGATAATATTGATATTAATTTTACCGAAAATAATATTAATATTTAATAATGGAAAATTAGGGAAACATACGGTGTGGTGGAAGGGTTTTTATTTGTGACCCTGTCGCCCGCACCGTCTCTCTTTCTCGTTCTCTTCTCTTTGGCGCTGCGCAGAAGAGAGAGAGAAGTAACAACGAACCATCGATCAACACCCTCCAATCTGTCGCAGTGAGTAGTGATATGCAGCAGGGTGATCCAACGGTTCTAAGCTTGAGGCCTGGTGGTGGTCGTGCCGGCGGAAGCAGGCTTTTCGCTCACTCCTCCTCATCCTCCTCCTCTTCCCTTCCCTCCGCGGATCCCCTTCTCTCGCGCCCCCATGCATCTTCCTCTCTCAAGGTCAGATCTCTCTTATCTCTCCACTCACTTCTCCGATTTCTCAAGCACCTTTTGTTTGGATCTCGTTACACATGTCCAACTCCTGTTGTTGTTGTTGTTGTTGTTTTTGTTGCTATTATCATTTTATGTTTGATGAATAGGGTTTAGAATGGATGTTAAGGGTATTATGGGAGAAGGTAAAGTTGGAATGTCCTGATTCTTGGTGGGAGCACCCAGTTCTGTGTTCTTGCTGTAAATATGGACAGAAAGCAATGTGTGGGATTTAGGTGGGCTTTCTTGAGTTTTAGATTGCCTGCAAAGGAACCATGCACATTCCTGCTCGTTTGTCTTTGGAAATAGGGTGTGGTTTTGCTGCTGTTGGGTAGTGAGTTTCAACACCAACGGGGTCCCCTCTAATGGAGGGTGATACTCCTTGGTGAACCAAGTTTCTAATCTCCGCAGGAAGAGATGACCATGTTTAGTGTTTGTCGCAACGAGCTGGCTTTGCCAGCAATGCCATTGCAGTAAGGATGTTTTGAGAATTTTCGTTCTGGTTTCCCTATTTGGCTACGCGATGTACTTAAAACAAAAATAGAGGTTGTCTTGACCTAATGTTACTCGACATGTTGGTTCATTGCCTTCACATTAAGGAAGCTGGAGAAGTTTTTCAGGTTTTAACACGTATTTTACATCAGAGAGATGGGATTTTTGTGGAGCTGCTTTTCGCTAGGAATGTAGTAATGAGTCTGTTGTTGCCAGTATATTTGTTTCTAAGGAATGAGTAGTTGAAAAGGGAAACGGTTTTGTCTTACCAAATGTTGGTTAATTATTGAGTTTTGTGTATGTTGCTTCATGCATATCCATTTTTATCATGATGTCTATTTCATTTGTCTTGTTCTTTTGATGTATTTATTGGTTGTAAGGTGATGATTTTAGGGTGGACCTTTCATAGACATTTTGTATCTCAAAAGTTTTTGTTTTATAGATTGGAGATTCATGGTTTGAGGGTCGTGAGCGTGTGCGATATACCAGAGAGCAGCTTTTACAGCTTCAAGAGGTAACTGTTTGCTCTTGCAATTTAACTTTAGTTTTCTATTTAAATGTATATCTGAATATGCAGAAGATTTTTTTACTTATTTCACAGTACACCCTTCTGCTTCCGTTTTCTTTATTAATTTTAAGCTTTATACTAATCACATCTATCTTCTGCTAAAATATACTGTAGGATCAGCATTCTATGATGGCTAATTGATTTTTCTTATTTTATTTTTGTGTAGCTATTTCCTTGTGGTTCCTCTATTTTAAAGGACGGCAGGCTATGTTTTTTATTTTTTTGGGGGAGGGGGTGTGTGTGTTTTGGTCCATTAAAAGGCAATTTAAATTATTACCTGAGACTCTGAATTTTTCTTCTCACTGTTTCATTCATTTTCTCCCCCTTTGCCATTCATACTAGAGGAATCTTCTTCTGAACTATCATATTTTAGTATTCTTTTGTGACTCATGTAAGCACTTATGTTTTCACTGTTATCTATCTGTTGAATTTTTTTTTGTTCGTAGGCTGTCAAGGTCCTTGAGGTCCCTGATGATATTCTGAAGATTAAGCAAGATATAGAGGCTGAACTTTTTGGTGAAGATCAAAGTTGGGGCAGCCAGGCTGATAGCAATGTAACATTCTTTTCTGCCTTCTTATTTATATTGATAATTTTGCTGAATCCATAAATCATCTTTCATCCCATTTGGTTAATTGATGAACAAAGTTGATTTATTTTTGGTGGAAAGCGTACTTGTTTGTATGATATGAAGACAAAACTTCTCTATAATTTGAATATCATACTGATACTTGTACTACTACTGATAATTTGTTCTTTTGATTGCTGCAATTAGTTATTATCTGTTTTATGAATCTATCTGCAATCATTTTTACAACTCATTTTACTTAATACTGTGCAGCTTCCTCATCAACTACAAAATCGGTATTCTGAACCAGATAACCGTGATTGGCGTGGTCGTTCTGGGCAACTTCCTTCTAATCTAGATGAGAGGTCATGGGAAAACATCAGAGATAACAGTAGTCAAGTTAATCGCCAAGACCAAATTATTTCCCAGTTTGCAAGGACACAAATCTCTTCTATTCAAGGGGTAAGCATTAGAAGAAATAAATATCAGTTTACAAGAAATGCTACATTCCTTCCATAACTATTTTTTTCCTCGCAGTAGAAGAAATAAATCTCTGATGAGATTTTTTCAAAGTAAGATATCGTATACTTGCATTTATTGTTACATGATGTTTATTTCTATCACCATCAACATTGTTTGCTACATATACCCTGATGAACCTGTGACAATATTTGCATGATTAAATTTGTTTTCTAGTTTTCATGTATGCCAACCTGGCATGCTATGCAGCTTGATGAAATTGGACATGTGATCCAATCATCACCGCATAAACAACTAACTTACAACAGAAAGCATGGGTTGTCTCAATGGAGATCCCAATACACTTGTAGTAAAAATTACAATTATCAGATGATATTATACTGAACTGTTATATTAAAGAATGGGAATTAGTTTTATGTAGTTACATGTTTTTTGTATGTTATTCTTTTGAAGTCTGAAGTCTAACCCTCAAAGTAGTTAAAATTGAGATTTTACCTAAGATCGAAAAAGGAAATATAAATTGTAAATTGGAGGATAGTAACCAAGATTGTAAGATCCTACAAAATTTATGAAATTTATATATATATGTCAAATATTTAAATATTAATAAAAATATAATATAATAAGCAAAATTAAGGGAGAGGAAAAGTCCTAGTTTTACAAAGAAAAGATGAAAAGTTCCATTTCTTTTAAGAATAGCACGAATTGGGTTTTAAAAGAAAAAAAATGCTACTGGGCTTTGAAGAGGTGTGTGAAATATTTAGGTTAGGTCAGAAACATATTAGGTCAAAAATATGTTGCTTGTCTACAATAGCCACACCGCCACATCCACGTGATGCAATTGTGCACCATTGTGAAGCAGACGCCTCACCGCTTGACGCAGTCACCGTACGATGCTGTCAACACACCGTGTGACAGACATAGCTGTCACGTGACACTGCACCCACATGGACAGAGACGACACACCCATGCGAGTCTTGATTTTGAACGACAATCCCATGCGCACCCTTAAAATCACAATGCGATGACATGCTGAATCTGAGAAGGGAAAGGAGATGATAGATTTGGGTGATTTTGCACTTCAAATTGGGATTTTGACTACCGTGCTGACTTGCTCCTCCTTTGTCTAGTAACTGATGATGACCAAGTTTTGCTGTTGGCCTTGTTAGAATTACTTGATTAACAAATTAAAAGTGCTTGTCATACTCAGACAAGTAGTTTTTCTTATGATCATTATGGTTTCATTGTTTACTTATTAGATTGGCATGATGAATTTGTATTAGTTTTAATCTACTGTCTATTTATGATGATGAAGTTGTGTTGTTGCTGTTGTCAAAATTACTCAACAGATTAAAAGAAATTGTCATGCTCTGATACAAGTAGTTTTTCTCATGATCATTATGGTTTCATTGTTTACTTATTACATTGACATGATGAATTTGTATTGACTTTTTTAATCTACTGTTTATTTATTCAGGGAGGACCTACTCCTACACTGGTCAAGGCTGAGGTTCCTTGGTCAGCTAGAAGGGGAAGTCTCTCTGAAAAGGATCGTGTCTTAAAGACTGTGAAAGGGTAATATTTTTTGGATATTTATGAATAACAGTTAGATACGAGTAATATTAGTCATGCTATGTGCAAGGACTCTGCGTTGCCATGTATGCTTGAATCTTAGCTTCTGTACTTGTACCTTGTGTAGTACTTGCCCTTGATGCTGTTTGGTTGTTGTTGGAATATATTAGAAAATATACCTAAGGTAGGGAGTTGAGTGTTAGATAATCTCTGTAGGGGGCTGAGTGTTAGATAAACTCTGCACCTAGTTCTGAGGAGTAGTCTAGGACTGGGGCATTTAATGTTATCTCCCTATTGTATTAGTTTTTATCTATATAAATAGAGAACCATGAGAGGGGTTCATCAAGCCCTCTAAGAACACTTTTTCTTTGTTTTGAATATCAAGTTGGTATCAGAGCGGGTTGATCCCGCTCTGCCTGTCTTTGTAGTCTCCGACACTATTTTTGCCGCCGTTCGCCGCCGCCATCTCTGCCGTCGGCTACCGTCTCCCGTCCAGTTTTTGCTGACGACCACCGGATCTGAATCATCTCGCCGCACGACAGCCAACCCCGCCGATCTCGGAAGCTTGTTCGCCTCCACATGCTGCCTCTCTCTTCGCTGAATCTGGCGTGTCATCCACGCGTCGCCTTCTCCGTGTCGGAACGTCGCCGCACTACCTCTGTTAGGATTGTCGGAGTTTCCTCTCCCTGTTCTGGCCCTCAGAACTTCATTTAAGTAAAGTCCAGTAGCCACCCTTGCGAAAATCACTCTTGGGCTTTTAGCCTTCCTTACTGTTTTCGCACCCCCTCACCAGTTTTTGTCCTCTTGATCAAATATGGCTGCAATTTCATTCTCTGGAAGCCCCTCCATTACTTCCGAAAAGCTAAACAGACAAAATTATCTACCTTGGTCTACTGCTGTCGAAATGTGGTTTCTGGTCAGGGGCATCACGACCACCTTGAAAAAGACGGAAGCCATGTGCCGGAAGAAAAAGCTGAACAGTGGAAACAGACAGATTTTCAGCTATGTGCTCTATTGTGGGAACCAGTGGAGCCACGACTTTTGATGTCACTTAGAGCCTTCAAAACTTGTCACTCCTTTTGGATGAAAGCCCAAACCATTTATGCCAATGATATCCAACGTCTTTATGATACCGCAAATAAGTTCACATCTCTAAAAATGATAGATCATGATATGGTGACCTTCATGAATGACACCCATTCAGGTGTGGAAGAACTAAAGATGTTCTTGGAAGTCGACTCCTTGGATGAAATGAAGAAGAAGCTTGACAAGTATTACATGGTGATGATCCTTCGTGCAATACATCCTGACTTTAACCATATCAGAGATCAACTTCTGACCACTTATGAAGTCCCTTCCATGGATACCCTTATCACATGCCTTATTCATGTACCAATGCCTGAAACTCAAGAAGTTCGTGCTCTAGTAGAACCATCTGCCATGGTTGCCACACGAGGAAGAGGAGGACGTGGAGGTCGAGGACGTCCCCAATGCACCTCCTGTAAGAGGATGGGTCACACATAGGAGAACTACTACTCCTTGCATGGTTTTCCTCCCAAAACCGCCAATGTCTCGAAGGTTGAAACTGTCGACTCCAAGTTCACTGGGAACGAATATCAAGAGTATCTACGGTTGAAGTTTAATAACTTGGCACATACCTCTCAAACTACAAGCACATCAACTGCTTGCATTTCTCAATCTGTGGAAGGTCAAAGTTCATGGGTAATTGACTCTGGTGCTTCTGATCATATATCTGGTAATACCTCCTTGTTCTCAACTATTTCCTTTCAAGAAAAACATTTCCTAACCCATGTAGATGGCTCTAAAGCTTCCTCAAAGGGAGTGGGTCAAGTTTCCTTGTCTCCCTCCATAAGCTAGAAATCTGTCCTTTTTGTTCCTAATTGTACTTTCAATTTAATCTCCTTAAGCCAGTTAACCAAAACCTTAAATTGTTCAATAACCTTTGCTAACAAATCTTTTGTTATACAAGAGTGTGGTTCGGGGAGACGGATTGGAGAAGGATATGAAGCTGGAGGATTATACCTTTTTGGCCCTCGTCCACATGTGTCCTGTGTTGCTACTTCGTGCCCTAAAATGTTACATGATTGGCTTGGCCATCCTCATTTGTCAAAATTAAAAAGAATGTGTCCTGAACTTAGTAGTCTCCAGACCTTAGAATGTGAGTCATGTCAACTAGGAAAACATGTTAGATCTACCTTTTCTAAAAGGTCTCGATCAAAGTGTACTTCCAGTTTCTCTATTATTCATTATGATATTTGGGGACCTAGTCGCATCTCATCTTTTGGTTTTTGGTATTTTGTTACATTCATTGATGAATATTCACGATGTACTTGGGTTTATCTTATGAAAGATCGCTCTGAATTGTTACCCATCTTCACATCCTTTTTAAATGAAATAAAAAATCAATTCGGTCAAGTAATCAAAATTTTAATAAGTGACAATGCTAAAGAGTACTTCTCATCCACCTTTGCTGTTTTGAGTTCACATGGAATATTACATCAGTCCACCTGTCCTCATACACCACAACAAAATGGTATAGCAGAAAGAAAAAATAGACATTTGATTGAAACTGCACGTACTCTTTTGCTGGGTGCTCATATTCTTGTCCATCACTGGGGGATGCCATATTAACTGCATGTTTTCTTATTAACAGGATGCCATCTTCCTCTCTCAGTAATAAGATCCCTTTCTCCATTCTATTTTCAAATAATCCTCTTTCACACCTCTTCTCGAGTTTTTGGTTGTATATGTTTTGTTCATGATATGTCTTCAGGATTAGACAAACTTTCTGCTCGTGCTATCAAATGTGTCTTCTTGGGCTATTCCTGCCTTCGAAAAGGGTATCGGTGTTACTCTCCTGAAACCAAGAAGTACTACATGTCTGCCAATGTTACATTTTTTGAACAGCTCCTTACTTTTCTCCTTCTGTTCAAGATGTTCATGTCATACAGCAGGTTCTTCCCATTCCAGTGGTTGAGTCTAATATTTCCAATGTCTCTATCGATCTCAGTCATGATCCAAGTCTTCCTGAACCATCCTTCCCTCACATTGATGTTGTCAATCATAGGATCCTGATGGCTAGTCCTATTCTCCAAGAAGAGGGTGAATCTCCCACTTTACATTCTTCTCCATCATCGCTTCCTACCATGACTCCTGGTGAAGGTGATTTCGGATGGCCTATTGCTCTCAGAAAAGGTGCTCGTTCCACTCGAAACCCACATCCTATTTATAATTTTCTTAGCTATCACAGATTATTGCCTTCCTATTATTCCCTTTTATCCTCAGTATCTTCTATTGCTATCCTAAGAAATGTGGAAGAAACACTTGATCACCCTAGATGACGACAAGCCATGATTGCAGAAATGCAGACTCTTGACCATAATGCTACTTGGGAGCTTGTGCCCCTTCCGCCAGACAAAAAGGCAGTTGGTTGCCGTTGGGTGTATACTGTTATAATCGGCCCTGATGGTAAAGTTGATCGGCTCAAGGCTCGGTTAGTTGCAAAAGGGTACACTTAGGTTTATGGCCTTAATTATTGTGACACTTTCTCTCCCATGGCCAAGATGACTACTATTCATCTGTTCTTCGCAATTGCTGCCATTCGTCATTGGTCACTTCATCAATTAGATATCAAAAATGTCTTCCTACATGGTGATCTTGAGGACGAAGTTTACATGGAGCAACCTCCTAGGTTTGTTGCTTAGGGGGAGTCTGGACTTGTATGCAAATTACATTGCTCTTTATATGGCCTCAAGCAATCACCACGTGCTTGGTTTGGAAAATTTAGCTCCATTGTTCAAAAATTTGGGCTAAGACGCAGTGAAGCAGATCATTCAGTCTTTTATTGTCATCCATCTCTGGGTAAATGTGTTTACTTAATAGTATATGTTGATGATATAGTCATTATAGGAAATGATACTGTTGGAATATCTCAACTAAAGGAGTACTTGTGCAGACATTTTTAAACCAAGGATTTGGGAAGCCTAAAATACTTCTTGGACATGGAAGTAGCTCAATCAAAAGATGGAGTTGTAATCTCTCAGAGAAAATATGTTCTCGATATATTACAAGAAACAAGTATGATTGACTGTAGACCTGTAGAGAGTCCTATGGACCCAAATAAGAAATTAACATCAGAAGAAGGTGAAGTATTCTCTGATCCAGAGAGATATAGGAGGTTGGTCGGAAAACTGATTTATCTCACTATTACAAGGCTTGATCTATCTTTTGCAGTTAGAGTGGTTAGTCAGTTCATGCAGGCTCCATGTGTTGGGCATTGGAATGCTATCATTCGCATTCTAAGGTACCTCAAAAAGGGTCTCGGGCAAGGATTGTTATATGAAGATTGGGCACTGTTGACAGACGGTCTACTACTAGATATTGTGTCTTCCTTGGAGGAAACATTATTTCATGGAAAAGTAAGAAACCGAATGTAGTGGCTTGATCGACAGTTGAAGCTGAATATAGAGCAATGACGTTACTAACTTGTAAACTTATATGGGTGAAACAATTCATTCAAGAGTTTAACTTCTGTGATATCTAGATTATGAAGATGTATTGCGATAATCAAGCTGCTCTCCACATTGCATCAAATTCCGTATTTCACGAGAGAACTAAACATAGAAAGTGATTGTCACTTTGTTCGTGAAAAGTTGTTAACAAAAGAAATATGTACCGAGTTTGTTGGATCAAATGACCAATTCGCAGATGTGTTTATCAAGTCCTTAAGGGGACCTTAGATTGAGTTAATTTGTTCCAAGCTTGGTACATACAATTTGTATGCTCTAGCTTGAGGGGGAGTATTGGAATAGATTAGAAAATATATGTAATCATTATACCTAAGGTAGGGAGTTGAGTGTTAGATAATCTCTGCAGGGGGTTGAGTGTTAGATAAACTCTGCACCTAGTTCTGAGGAGTAGTCTAGGATTGGGGCATTTAATGTAATCTCCCTATTGTATTAGTTTTTATCTATATAAATAGAGAAC